AATAATACATTTTAAAACTTTAAGTTTTGAGTTATATTATTGAAACTGTTAATGTAAGCATGGGAGATAAGGATGCATAATCTTTAATTTGAAGAAAAATCACCTGGTTAAATTTTCAACATGCAAGAAAACTGATAGAGCCCTCTAAAAATGATGGTTATGCCTCCACCTTCCTACATGTGGATTTTAAATGAGTGATATATATAAATTTCCTATGCTTCTAAATAAATTCTTGTAAGTTTGGTGGCATAAAGTCACACATTTATTATCTTAAAGTGATCCAAGGTACACTGTTTTGTTCCTTCTAGAGGCTCTAAGGAATGATCTGTTTTCTTGCCTTTTTGAGCTACAGACGCTGCTCACATTCCTTGGACGTAGCCTTTTCTGTTTCCAGGCCAAAGATAGCTAGTAAGTTCTTCCTCAGGCTGCTAGGATCAAATCCTGATTCCTACTTACTGTTTTCATCTATAAGACTAAGGATTATACACCAGATTATCATGGTAATCTTCCCATCTCAAAATCAGCAATCTAATCACATCTGGAAAATCCTTTGTCATCTAAGATGACATATTCTCTGACTCCAGGGATTTTGATGGGCACAGTTTCCAAGGCCATTCTGCCTAGGCAGCATCTCTTTATCTTCAGAAAAAAACAAAACAGAACAAAAAAAACCTGGTACTTCAGTGGTTCATATTAGAGAATCCCAAAGCATCAGCCAAGCCTCTCCTTTCTCCTACCTTAGATAGAGATGCTTGTAAAGCCTTATTTTTGTCTGTGGCATCTTGGTTAATTTTTCCTTTGATGTGTAAGGATCTTTCTTTAAACACTTGAAAGCAATTGAAAGTACAGTTTTCCTCCTGAATAAAGGTATTACTGAGAAAATCTTACAGAAACAGAAATGGATGTTAAGCCTTTTTGTTTGCTATCTGAAAATTTCAGTGCTTAATAATGCCACATTTAGTTCCTTTGGTTACTGTTACTGTGCCATTCATGTTTCATTATTAGATCCCAGAAGAAAGATAGTAGAAGACATTTCACAATTAGGTTTGAAATAAAAATGGGGATTTGGGGACTGACATAACTTAGTAGATAGTGTCCACATTCCAAATTGCAAAGCTAAATTTCTGATTTTCTTACTATTACTTATATATATGCTTGGAAACTTCATCTTGACTCAACTGCTATATCTTTAAAATGAAGCCAACAGATCTTTCCCATGCCCCATAATTGTATTTAGAATGTGTGTGTGTGTGTGTGTGTGTGTGTGTGTGTGTGGTTTGTATGTTATTGTGTATGTTATGTAGACAGTGCTAAAATTGAAAGCCTAGGTATTAGGCTCCACATAAATTAATAGTAATTCAACTTTTAATTTATTAATTTACCAAAGGAACAAAATTTACCACTCATAATTAATTGAAACAACGAATGTAATGCTTTTTAAGTATGACTGAAAAATAAAAGCTCATCACTATCTGTGGTCTATTTATTTATTTATTTATTTATTTTGTGGTCTTTTTAAAGAGCTTAGCTTCTCTGTTGGGGGATTCTCAGGTATTAGACAGCTGGCTTCTTCATCGGGTGCCAGTGTAGCTGACTGATGGTACCCTCAGTCATTACCTCTCACCGCTGGTCTACTTTAAGGGATCTACGTGGCTGTACCATGTTGAGATTAAATTTTACTTCAGAAAATATGTTCCCATTAATGTTTTCCATGCATTTTGAGTATTCTGTAGATCATTAACTATAAATACCCATAGTATTTCATCACAAGCAATGTCTTAAAATTTTGTTAGCCTAGCATTGCATTTTCTAGGGTACCTTATTTGTATCAGTATTCAAAGCGTGAATACTATAGAGGTAATCTTTTGGAACTTTTCAGATACTACCCACTCACATAAATGATTTAGGATACTGAATAATTAGGTCTCTCAAGATGATGGTCCCAGGCATGGTGGCACACACCTCCATTCACAGCAGTGGAGAGGCTGAGGCAGGAAAATTACTGAGTTTTGAGTCTAGCCAGAACTATATAGCACGATCCTGTCTTTAAAAAAAAAAAAAAAAAAAAAAAGATGTGCTTTTATAAAATCGATTGAGCAAATGCACAAGGCAGACCACCAGCAAAAGTAAAGCATTTTGAGTTATTCTAAAATGGAATATCCTAAAGGTCCTAGAGGAACAATGAAGCTACTAGAAAGTGACTTTTCAGAAAATCCTAAAAATTTACCACACTAGCCAGGAGTGGTGGTGCACACCTGTAATCCCAGCATTCAGGAGGCTGAAGCAAGAGGATTGCCTCAAGTGCAAGGCCAGCCTTGGCTATAGAATGAATTCAGGACAAGTCTGGATTAAATAGTGAGACTCTGTCTCAAAAAATAAAAAATAAAATAAAATTTACCACTCTGCAAATGTAAATAGCTTGAAATTATTTATAACATTATAGTTGTTCTGTAGAAAAATAAGAACAAAGCATGTAGAATAAAGCTGATGTGATGCTTTATGAAATAGCTGTGTATTATTTAGTAATTTGCTGATGTTGAAGTTAGTAGCATGGTGTTATGGATAGAGAAGTGAAGTAAGTTAATCCCTGGTTGTCTATTTCATGAACGAAGGCTTTATACTACTTTTGTACTTTCTTCAAGAGACAAATATGTTAACCATTATTCATCAGCTACATGGTATACTTTTCTTTTGACTTATAGATACATATATCTGATGTGAGCAATATAAATATTTTCACTAATGTAGATGGCCTTTAATGTGGATTGTGCCTTTTCCCACACTCTGCAAAATTACTAATAATTTAATAGCAGATATAGACAGCAATAGATTTATAATTTGGGCTACTTTGAGTTAACAGTTTGCTGAAGTTTGCCTGGAAATATCTTTATTTTAAAAAATTTATTTATTTGTTTTTAATATGTATTTAGTACAGGGTCCCACTACACAGATCACACTCATAGTGATCCTACTATTTTCAGCCTCCCAATCCCTGGGATTACAGGCATGTGCCACCACGCCTAGTCTCAATCAATGTCTCTGGGATCAAACCCCTGGCCCTTGTGTTTGCCTAAGTAGGCGCTTTAATCCACTGAGCTTTCTGGCTAGCCTTTGAAATATCTTTATTGAATGGTGTAAATTTGTTCATTTAAAATTGACATTGAGGAAACATGGCAATTGGCTGTCGCTTAGTCATATTGTCACTTGTTTAAAAGAGCATAAATAATCTCCTCTTGCCTTATACCTATAGATTTATTTATTTATTTATTTTTTTTTTTTTTGGGCAGAACGGGGGATTGAACCTTCCCTTGTGCTTGCCAGGGAAGCGCTTATTCTACTTATGCCTATAGAATTATGCTTCAGGAGTACTGTATCTTGATGTTACTGTGTTGCCCAAGGAATTAATAGTGATATAAGAAGCAAAGTGGGACTAAGATGATTAGACTGTCTGCCGAAAAAATCTCATTATATAGTGATTGATCTTGAATGTCAGATTTCATACAGCAGTTGCTGGAAAATAATAGGCTTAGAAGGTCAGTCAGTTTAATTTTTTTAGTACCTAAGGAAAACAACATAAATTGAAAGGTAAGATACTTATTTTCAGATTCCTTGATGAATAGTTTGACCCGAGTAACTATACCTTAGTTTTGGTCTGGCCTCACATGCTTTATATTTTATTTTGTTACTGTTATTATTAATGAAATTACTATTGTTATTACAGTTCTTTATCTTTTTATTGGGTTTAATTTCCCTTTACAAAATGTGCATGGACCAAAAATGTGACTTTGGGAGATTATTGCTGAGTTGTTATTGATGTCAGTTTCATACTGTGATATATTTTCTCTATTTACCAAGAGATCAGTATTTTAATGTAACGATGTGCATGTTTTCCCCCCTTCTCCCGCTGCATGCAGGGATTCGGGTTCGTAACTTTCGAGAATAGTGCTGATGCAGACAGGGCCAGGGAGAAATTACACGGCACCGTGGTAGAGGGCCGTAAAATCGAGGTGCATGTCTTCAATAATTCAATTTCTGGTTTATACTTTTCTCTTTTTTTTGTATTGCCTCACTTATCTCACATTTGGAACCCCATCTTGTGTGCGTGCACTGTATGTGTGTTTGTATATCTGTGTTCTTCACTTTCTTGCACTAAAATAAAAAATAACACTGCTATCTGCACACCTCTTTTATTGGTTGCTTGGGACTTTAATTTTTTTTTCCTTTGTATGTGTGTGTATATGTATGTGTGTTTCATTTACTTTTTTTCTCTCCCCAAAATGTTCATCCTTCTGCTCTCTTGATTTTTTTCCTTTGCTTCAGTATGCCAGACTGAATTCCTATGATCAGGCCTAAACAAAGCCAATTTTTAAAGTGTCTAGGAGCTATCTGATTGGTAACATTATGTTTCTGTGATCAATCAAGGGGCCAGCCAGTAGCCTCTTTCTCTTAGGAGGCCAGGCCAGTTTGCCTCCATTGGAGCAGATTACATAGAGGTTTGGGGGAGGGAGAAAAGTACCCAAAACTCATGTGGTTTTTAAATCTTATCTAATATGAAGAACTTCAGCTGTTGACTTTTAGATTTTACAAATAACATCCTCAAACATAGGGTTTGGTGGCTGGCTAGCAAGTGTGCTATAATTTCAAGGGAGTCAGCCACCAGGTTTCACCAGCCCTTTTTAATAGTACATTGAAGGTTAACTGGCTCCTTTTCCCTTTCCCAACTTTTAAAAGTATTAAATATAAAAGCCACCATTTGAGTAAGATGTCTGCATATTTTGCTTTTTTCCCCTTTTCCAATGGTTTAGCATTTAGGGCCCTTCACTTGACTCACTCTTTCCATCGTAACTATACACAATGCTGGTGATGGTGCCCATTGGCGGTAAGTGGAAAAAAAAAAGCACTAGAGAAGAAGCTTTTTAAAAATGTAATTACAAAACAATTAAGAAGGAAAAAGTCCATCTGCCATCTCACATTAACACTATGAAATGTGATTTGACTTGTTGTTCCTCTTCCCTTTACTTTCCTTTCCCCCTTTTATTTTCAATGCTGTTGAGTAATGCCGCCTGGACTTTGGATGTACATATTGTTTTGTAGCAGTCTGAGCTGTTTGATTACTGACTTCATGGTGATTTTTTTCCCCTTGCACATCTTACTCAGAGTTATTGAACTCCAGTTTGGCTGGTCTTATTAATGCACTTCCTGCCCCTACTTCCTTCCCTACATTTTCCCCTTCCCAAACCACTGTTTGCAGCTCTTTCTTTGCCTGACTGCTCCTTTGCTGCCCGCAACACCCTTCATGACTTGTCTTTTTTTCCTGCCTCATTGTTCTCTCTGCCCAAATTCTTGTTCCTGTCCTTCCCTGTTCTTGCTCCCCTTCCCTCCTCTGTTCATGCAGCTATTGGTCTCTTTTGCTGACTGATGGTTTCTGATTGGTTCTGGCCACTTCCTTTTATGTGCTTGGTTGCATTCTGCTCTAGCAGCTGGCTTAAGCTCTTGATCCATTCTAACTTTGCTCTTTACTTTCTCCCTTTCTGATTTTTTTTCCCTTTGTGTGTGTGTGTGTGTTTTTAACTGCATGGTCTCAGTTTCATCATTGTTGTCTCCCATTCTTTCTTTATAAATGTGAAATGTTTGTATTATTGGGGAGTCATACAAGAATAAATGCAGTTTCAAGCATGCCTCATGCAAGATAGCCTCACTGTACAAATTGTAAAAGACACAACATACTGTTTTTAGCTCTGGTTCTTTCTAAAGCCCATCTGTGCACGGTATGACTTTAGCACAATGTATATTATATACATTGAGACAAAATAAGACATATATTTTATAATTTCTTTTAAAATTGGCACAGTTTATGACCTAAAAAGACAATGTACAGTGACACTTTATGCTGAGGCTTTACTCTACCTTCAAGAACTTTGAGGCTGGTCCTGATGCTGGACTGTCATTACCTGGCTTCTAATTTCTGTGGGTCTCTTCTCCAGCAGCACCTGCTCAACTACACTGACAGTGCTTTATTTAAATTACTCTGTAAGAAAGTGGAGAGTGACATTAAAAAAAAAAGAAATAGACACTTTATTTCCACACTTCCAAGTGCCTACATTAAAGGCATTCTGAAAACTTACAGATCATGTCATCTAGAGAATGTGCAATGTCCCTCAAGACTGTCGACATGGGAATTTAAGTTCCTATTTTTTAAAATTAACATTAGAAAAATTGTAAGCAAACATCAAAAAGTAGAAAATACGAAGAATAGTGAACTCAATAGATTTACTTTTATTTTCCTGGGGGGGAACTAACCCTTTCTTACCCAGGTGGCAAGCCTGTATTATTAATGAACATCAGAGTTCATTTGTGAATATAATTGTTTCTTATTTACTTTTTTACATATTTTTCTTAATGGAGACTTCTGCTTGATGATCTCCAAAGAACTTATAATTTATTTTTTTAGAATACCGAGTGATGGGCTGGCCAGATAGTTTAGTGGATTAACATGTCTGTTTAGGCAAAGCACAGGGACGGGGTTCGATCCCTGCTCCCTGTGGCACACTGAGGCTGCAAATGAAACTGGGCGTGGTGGCATGCGCCTGAAATCCCAGCGCTTGGGAGGCTGAAAACAGAAGGATCACTATGAGTCTGATCTGTGTAACGAGACCCTGTAGACCCTGTACTAAATGCATTTAAAAAAAAAAACCACACAAGAATACTGAGTGATAAAGTGACCCTCAGTTTCTATATGGAAACTGCATTTTACTCTTGTTAACCTCACTTAATAAGCACCTAAATTAAATTTTTATATGTTAATATTTTATATTGTTAAATTAATTAAATCAGTACATTCAGAAATTTGTTTTAAATTAAATACTGTATTACTGGATAAGCAACTTCATGTTCCTTAATGTGGTCTACTTCCTCCCTTCCCCATCTTTCCACTTGTTATTTTTAGGTGAATAATGCTACAGCACGTGTAATGACCAATAAGAAGATGGTTACACCATATGCAAATGGTAAGAACTTACAAATCATCTTTGGGGGGAATGTCATTTATTCTTATGTAAACATATAAACATCTAAAAATCTCTTTATTTCAGTCTTGACAGTTTGTTGTATTTGTATTGAACTAGTCTCTCTAGGAGAATGTTTTATATTTGCAGGTTAACTTTTTTCTTAGAATTAAATTAAGCTTTTTAGTTATTAAGGTGTTTTGTTCTCATCATTCATCTTCTACACAGTACAAATGTGCCTTTTGAAGTTTCCTAGTCACCCAAACTAGGACCCCTTGAACTCCCTCTTTTTCTCTTAAGCTATTATAGTTCTATTATGTTAGACTTGTATACAGTGTTGCTAAAAGTATGCCACCTCTATTTTTACTACTGATTGGTCCTCCTGTGAGTATGAGCAGGATAAGTTGGAGGATAAGTATATTATTATCACTTTGTAACTCTAGACACCTTGTTTTACTTAAGGGTTGGCAGAAATAGGCATGTGGGGGTGTGTGAGAGAGAGCAAGAGAGAGAGAGATTTTCTGTTCCATGATTACAAGTTATACGGTAAATATATAGTTTCTCACTCAAAGAAAGTTTTTTTATGAATAATTATCCAAAGAAAGACAACGTTTATATCAGTTGTCAAATTTAACATAGATTCGTGTTCTTGAAATGTGATAGAACATAATTTAATCTGCAATCCCACAGTGATTTTGCAAACTGTGTTCCACAGAGCCAACCAGCGAAAGAATAAAGAGGAAAACAGATGGGCTGGGTCCTGAACTCTCAGGCTTCCTTTCTTTTTTTTTTTTTTTTTTTTTGGAGGGGGTGCAGGGGCTGGGGATCAAACCATGGGCTTTATGCATACTTTTTACTGAGCTACGCCCCCAGTCCTCCAGTTCTCCTTTGGCCTGAGCAGCTCTTCATTCTGTTGTGTATCTTAGGGTTCTATGTATGATTTTATTTGATAGTTTTTGCTGCTTTTTTAAAAAGTTTGAACCCAGTGTACTAGAATGTTAGTCTTATGTGCTAGTAAAATCTTAAAATAGGTAGAAATATATTAGTAATCAGTATAAACTATAAAGTTTTTACTAAATATATTCAGCCTAGCTTTTGACCCACAGGATAGAATTTATCAGCATAATTTCCATTTTCTTAACCTATTTTATCAGTGGTATAATCATAAAGTATCCTTACCTCTTGTTTTCTTAGTTTTATTTCTATTTTAAAAATATGAGTTTCTATGGGGCTGGGGAGATGGCTCAGTGGAATAAACGCTTCTCTGGCAAGTGCAAGGGCCCGAGTTCAGTTCCCAGTTCCACCAAAAAAAAAAAAAAAAAAAAAAAAAAAAATATATATATATATATGAGTTTCTATAATTTTTATAAAAACCCAATATAAACAAAAGGGGAAAAGATATAAAGTATATCCATTTTTCTTTAAATCCAGAGAAAAATAGCATGACAAAAAGAGCATCTGATAGGATTTCAGAAGATAAAAGTTTTACTTTTGGATTTGACTCTACATTTTACTCTGTGATACCAGACCAGTTTTTTAACCTGTCAGATTATTTTCACATCTGTGTTAGCAACCACAGAATTTTAAAACCTGCCTCTTTAGAAATCATCATCCCAACCCTCTTTGCTTAAGAAAGGAAGCCTAAAGAACTATAATATTTGCCGACAAACAAATATGGCATCTGTCTCCCTCTTTGGGTTTTGTGAAGGCCAAACAACGTCTGTGAACATGCAATGTAAACTGTGTAAAGCTAAGCATACTTAAAGTATTACTGACATCGTAACAACTTGTCTCCATTTATGGATTTAAAAGGTACTTGGGGCTGGGAGTGTAGCTAAGCTATTATGAGTCCTTGCCTAACCTGGACTGTGTTGGATCCTTAGTACCATAAAAGAAAATAAAGCCATGCTCAGGAAACAAAGCCATTGGTAGGAAAGGAAAGTTTGATTTTTTGATGTTATTTTAAGTCATTACTCAAGCCTGATACTCAAGAAAACTACCACTGTATGTTTAAGGCCATAAAAAAGAGTTACACTAGAAGCCTTCTAGAGAATTTTAAGTCAGTATTTTCATTTCTGTTGGTTGTAATCATTGCATTTGTACAAAGACATTGTGCAATCTCTTTGCAACTTACATGGTTGACATTACAGAACATTCATGCTCTCATAGTTCAGGTAAGATTTGAACTCAGATTCTACCCAAATTTTATGTAGAATAAGGGAGGCCATTATTCGGAGCATACATATAATATACCACATTGTTGAGCACATCAGAATAAGAGCTTAGACTGATTGAGAATGTATAGATTATCTCTTAAGTCGTGCCTTGTCTTATCACCACTTAAATCTGGTAATTTCAATAAAATTAGCTTCCATTCATATATTTATAAAGTAGCAGTGGCATGGTGCAAAGGAAAGAAATCAACGAAAGAGCCAGTCTTTTTGAAAAATAATGTGTTTTCTTATTGTGCATAAAATTCAATAAATGTTTATTGACTAAAATTTTCATAAGTAGACAGTAGTATATTTTTCCTTTGTTATAAAGTACTTGTCATATTCCTATACGTACTTTTGAAAGGCGAAGAGGAAATAAAATGACATCAAATATAATATTTAGAAGTTTCTAACATTTATAAATGTTGAAGCTAATGTTAAAAGTCTGGTGTCTTCTGAAAAGTCAGATTTACTTAATATGTTTACTATAGATTAAACCACTGAAGTTGGAATGTACCTTGAATTTTATTTGCATCTGTTTCCTTTTTTACTTGGTGAACCCCAGAGAAATCCCAGGGGTAAATTCCACTGAAAGGGTATTTTAGTCTGCCCAGAAAACTAGCATAGTGTAATTGAACCTGGAGTTGTGGGGGAGGGGGGTACTGGGGATTGAACTCAGTACCCTGCTCTTGGTAGGCAAAGACTTACTCTACTGAACTATCTCCCCAGGTCCGTCCGTCGTCGTCCCGTCCCCAGGCACCCGCCCCCCGTCAAATTTGAATCCAGTCAGAGATTACCTTGGGCCACCCAAATAGCTCAGCATATTAAAGTGCCTGTTTAGGCAGACACAGGGGCCAGGAGTTAGATCTCCAGGCCTGCCTTTGGGCCCCACCCCCAGGGCATGCTGAGCTGCAATGGAGACTGGGCGTGGCAGCGTGTGCCTGTAATCCCAGCACTTGGAAAGTAAACAGGCGGATCACTGAGTCCCATTTACTCAGTGAGACCCTCTACACCTTGTATACCCTGTCCTAAATACAAAAATATAGAAAATAAAAAGATAACCTTTATAAAAGAACTGTGGTGGTAAAGACTGTTAAGATGCTGTATAAGAAGTTGCATCACCATGTGGTACAGAATGATACATGTATTACATTGTTTTCCTCTTGCTAAACTTAAGAACGGGTCATTTAGGTGTGTTGTGACAACACTGTCACAGAACCCAGGGTTTATTTCTCTCTTTCTTGCTTTTCCCTGTCTTCCTTTCCCATTTCCAATTTGTCTTTCTCCATGCCCTCCTGCTTTTCCTGACCCTGTCATTATCCATTCAACCATTCTAGTCCTGCTTCATGACAGTGCCCTCTCCCTATGGTAGAAACCCTAACCTGGCATTCTAAGGGGGAATTAATAATAGGCAAATATAAGCCCAGAGGCTTCTGAAGCCAACTTGATGTGCACTGGTCGCTCCTTGTCCTCAGTAATCTTAAATGCTCACTGCCTTCTTTTCTATTTCAGGTTGGAAATTAAGCCCAGTAGTTGGAGCTGTATATGGCCCTGAATTATATGCAGGTAGCACTTAAGTTAATCTTTCCATTTGTGCTATTTAATTGTCACAGTCTCTATGGTCTCAATTTTCTAACCCTTTGTAACCTTTTTTTATATTTTTTAATTTTTTAACGCAATCAGCATCCAGCTTTCAAGCAGATGTGTCCCTAGGCAATGACGCAGCAGTGCCCCTATCAGGAAGAGGGGGTATCAACACTTACATTCCTTTAATCAGTAAGTAGCCTATATTGGCCTGGCATGGATTTTGACTATTATATCTGAACAGTGGTGTGATGGTTGGTGTATTGGTTGGTTTTCGTAGTACAATATGTAACTGAAAAGAGAAATCTCAAGGACAATAAATATTATCACAATGCCTTGTTCTGTTTAATCCATGCTAGAATGTTCCTCCCCAGATATTAAAACAGCCATACAACAAAGTAGTTGGAAAGAGGGGTGAGGGCATGTGAAGGATATTCATTCTGTACTTGATGATAGGGAGAACAGAAGTCATGAATATGTGTAGCATATGTTATTCTCGTCTTCTGCTGGTCCACTTGAGGCTCTCCAGAAGAGTGTCACTTAAAAGTACCTCCAGTATTATCAATTATTCTCAGCTTGCTTGTTATCTCTGAAGTCACTTTGACCTAAGCCTTTTTACTTCGGCAAGAGATACAATTAAACAGGATTCAGTGGATGTGAAATTAATGTCTCTGCACACTTTCCAGAGAACAATACTCTTAAAATAAGCCCTTAGAGATGTCCACCCCTTGAGAGCATGACAGGGGAGGGATGATTGTTGTCTCGCCCTACATTTATGCACTAAAACATTTCAGATAAAGGAATGGAATTAACTAATGAAATGAAATGTCTAACTGTTGTGAACCTTGGTGGTGACACCATGTAAGAATACAAAAGAGCATTCTTTTGAGGATTAATTATAATGATAGGAAACAAGATTAGTAATTGGCCTTTTGAAGGGTTCATATCTATCTGATTTAAGCTGTCCCCACAATTTGTCTCTTATTGTGGCAGTAGCCCTCAGCTTCTTGACCTATTTCTCACTTGCTTTCATTGTAATGGTAAAATGGGAAGAAATAGAATAAACTCACTGAAGACTTATGCTAACTTAGTCATGGAATCATTCACTTGTGCACGTTGGGTCTCTTTCCATTTCTTTCCCACTCAGATCTGTGGCAGAAGAGATACTGAGGAGTGTGGTGCAGCTCTTGAGGAACAGTGTGATACATAGCTTTTCATCTTTTCTATAATTTGTTTACAGTGAGTTGTGACTACTATTGAATGCAAATTGAAATTTCTGTCATATTTTGGGTCTCCCTTTAGTTCCTGGCTTCCCTTACCCAACTGCAGCCACCACAGCGGCTGCTTTCAGAGGAGCCCATCTGAGGGGCAGAGGGCGGACAGTATATGGTGCAGTTCGAGCGGTACCTCCTACAGCCATCCCCGCCTATCCAGGGTAAGCGTTACATTCCAAAATTAGTATGTGTCTAAAATAGGAAATTGGACTGAAAGAAAAAAAAAAAAAAAAGAAAGAGAATACCACGGACATGGCTGTAACTTCTCAGACATTGCTGTGCCACATAGTATGCAAATTTGCAAATTAATGGATTAGATGCAAGAACCAAAATATACCATCATCAAAATGTAACACAAAGTCAGTTCATTTTATAAGTCTTGGTTTTGGCCACCTTAAGCCTTCATGGTAAGGTCTTAAGACAGTAGCCAGAACCAGCTTGTGTTTATTAGCAGTGTGTTGGCATGGAGTTCACTCAACAGAGCACGAATATGGATTAACAATACTGCAGAGAATGAAGAGAGAAGCTGGAGATAGTGCCAGACTGTATCTGCTGTGCTCACCCCCTTCTTGCCACCTTGCGTTGAGGCAGAGACTGGCACTTGTGCCCTCCCCTTGGTTTCTCTGCCTGGGTGGTGAGCAGCAGAGCTAGTTACCCACAATGGATTTGCTTTCTTTGTAGGAAATGGATTAAAAGAGGTTAATTCAAAGTTGAACCAAGTCCAATTGAATCAAGGGAGAAAGGGAAAATTAGGATTAAACTGCAGTTGGCTTCTGAAGGATGGTAAAACAGCTCATGTCCTTGAGCATCCTTCGCCCTTTGATTTTTGTGTGGAGGGTGTCTCATGCAGTGGAATGATTCCATAGCAACAAATAAATCCTTTGCTGTTGAAGGGGGAGAAGGAGTGACGTTGGCAGGTTTGTTTTAGTTGTTTCTCTGTGTCAGCCTAAAATGATTATTTTTACCAGAAGTGGACTTTCACAAGTCAGGTGTACCAAGGACTTTTTCTTTTCAGTGATGGGATGTTTCTCTTCATCTTGGCTCTGCCTGTGTCAGGGCTTTTTTTTTTTTTTTTTGTATTCTTACAGAGAATAAGTAATGGCAGCAAATCCTGTTAGCTGCTACTTAGCTAAAACATAAAGGGAAAAAGCCTCCTTTGTATATCCCTTTCTGAGAGGAAATCTGGCTTCACGTGGAGGTGTACTAACTTAACATTCATTCATTCATAGACCAATTGGACATACCATTAGGAGTCCTCCATGCTACAGAATTAAAGCACTTTTATTAGACAAGGCAAGTATGCATGTGGAAGTGGGCAGGCTCCAAAAGACACTGGAAGGGTACTGCTACAGAAAGTTACTTTTGTTTGCAAGTTATAGATGTTCAAGTCCCATGCATTCCATCATCTCCATCTTCTGCCATGACTTACTTTTAATTTTATCCTTTTTTCTCTCTACTTGACCTTTGACCTTCAACCTCTGACATCTCTTTAAAATGACTAAAGACACAGTATTGTTTCATCAAAAAATATTCAAATAAAAATATTCAAATAAAACATAAAAATTTCTACACACTAGGAAAATTGATCATGAAGCTTTTTCCATTTCAGTCCAAGAGTATTTACTGTCACATGTGCAAAAAACTGCTCAGAGAAACATGGGATTTCTTTATAACCTTCCTGAGTAATTGTATGAAGTGCTTAAATTCAAACCTGTTCGATGTAGGTTTAACTATATTGGCCAAACTTGAGAGCCATTCTCTGCCAAGTCCATGTCAGATATATATTTTCTCAAAGATATTTTATCTTTTATGTCTAATCACATCAATTTCCGTGCATTACATTAAACACTAATTTCCCATGTTTTCTTTTTTATTAACTAAACCACCTGTTTACACGGAAGATGGCAAGGAATAAGTCCAGTATTTTATGGGGAATGGCCTGGGACTGCTTTCCAGCTTAGTACACTAATTCCACCACTAATTGTGTTCTAGTCTCCTTGTGGCGTTTTATACAGAGAATATTGAAGCTCTCCTTGAATTTAGATGAGTATTCCCAGTACTTGATTTGATTTAGAGTAAAATCTATTGATTTTTAATGTTAACATTTTACTATTGAATTTTTAAGCCTTTGCCTATATCTCCTTCGTGAAATCACTGAAGGTTAATCGCCACTTGGCCTCAGTGTTTTCTATTTACCAGCCTTCTCATGGCAGACAAGTCTTTTTCATACTAAAATGCAACTGAGAAGATTAGTTTGTTTTCAGACTTTAAGCACAGTTGTAGGTTGTGAAAATGTATAGTATTTAGCCAAACAACCATTATAGATAAGTTTAGTTTGCCTGTCGTATGGTACAAGGCATAACATTTGGAACATTGTAAATTGTGACCATACTATACGATAAATATAACAAAATGTACAGAAAATGGGATTCAGGCACTTTTCAGCGCCGTGTAGGAAACAAGTTATTTCATACTCCTGTTAAAAATATAATTTAATGACCCTACTTGCCAACTTGTTAAGAGAAAGTAGTAATAAAATTTTCCATCTCGTTTAGTTGAATGTACAATAAACAAATCATCTCATTTTAAAAAGTCAAATCTTGACCTAATGATTACAAAGAAGAAAATCTTATCTACTGCTATTTCATGTCTTTTGGTCCCAAAATAATGTTTTGGGGAAAGACTCGAAATCTGTATTTTAAGAATAATAGTATAATGTTGCTCCAAATTTAAGAAAAATACATTTTTTTGATGCAAAGTCTTTATCTAAAGAGAAAAACAGCCCCTCTGTTCCTAACCAGTCACCCTTTCAAGTTTATTCTTCTAAACAAGACAAGATGACACTGGTCATGCCCAGAGCTTTAGTCATCAACTACTTTTTTTCAGGATTCCATGAGTATGCTTATAGTCAAAAAAGAACCCTTAAAATCTTTCAGCTACTCCTTCCCACTCTGGATTATATTGTTACTATCTGGGATCCCCACTGCACCTTTCAATTCTTGGACCTTGGACCAATCACCTTTAACCTTTAGCTCATTATCTCTGCTTGTGAAAGCAATGCATTGTGGGTATTTTTGGTTGTTTTGTTTTGTTTTTTTTAATTACATTTCTCTGTTTACTTTGGTCAGAATTGATTGACTTGTTTTTCTGAGGTGTTGCATTGGTTCTTAAAAATGCTGAATAATAATACTTTGCATGCTTGTGTGATCAGCCAAATCTTATTGCATGTCTAATGTGCAGGGTAAAAAGCAGGTGATGTATGGATATTTAAAAATTTACTTTTTACTTTGAAACAAAATCAAGTAATAGACGTAATTTTTGAAGGTACTTTGCATACATATCCTGCCCTAACAGAATTCTTTGGGTTCACTTGTTTCATATTAAACCCCTCTCCATCCTTACCCTCTTTTTGAACTCTTTAAAGAAAAACTTCCTCCTAGAACAGACTTACCTTTTAAAATACTCCAGATACAAAAAATGGATGTTCCAGTGCAGCTTATTTGGGATGGCCATGTTAGGCCCTTCTTTGAGTGGTTTTGTTTTATTAATGTTACTTTAGTTACAAAATATCCAGATGCTCATTCTAGTTTTGCACACCTTTCACCCTCCCGCATGACTTGTAGCTGTGTAATGTGAGTGTGCACTTTCACGTCCCCTCACTGACCCACTGTGGCCCCAGCCCAGGTTACGGATTCATACATCACCTGCCTGTGTAGAGCGCATGTGCATGCTGCCGTCCTCAATAACCGGAATGTGTTTCTGTTCTTTTGTTTTTTTGTTTTTGTTTTTGTGTGGATTTTCTGCAGTGTGGTTTACCAGGACGGATTTTACGGTGCTGACCTCTATGTAAGTACACACACCGGGGCCTTCTCGACCCCATTCCCTGACAAGCCAGCCTTTTTTTTTCTGTTTCTTTGGTTTGGTTATTTTGTTTTTTGTTTTAATATAATTTATTTTGTTTTTATTTCCTTTTCCTTGTGGATATATATATATATATATTTATATATTTAAGAATGCAAGCATGCTTCTCTGCCACTGCGCTTGCCCCTGGGTGCAAAAACTGAGCCTTTGGGTCTCCTGATTGCTAGGGTCAGTCTACTGGACATATTCTTTTCCCTTCCTGAACCCACAGATGTTGTATGTATCTCTGAGTTATTTTTGAGATGATCAGCAGGTTTAAAGTCTTTGTAACTGTTATATCATTTGCATACATAAATAGCAGGACTAGCTTAGCCTTGAACCAACTCTTTCCCTTTTCCTTTTCTTCTCATTTCATATCCCTCTCTAGATCATTAGAACTTTGACTTTTGTAGATGATAATAAACTTTCTGAACTATGTGCTTTCTTCTTTTATATACTTGTAGAAAATGTAAACTTGTGAAAGAACAAAGATTTAATGCCAATTAAGAGTGTAGTAACAAGAGGATGCCAAATATTTAGTGTTTTAAGACCTTTCTTTAGATAAAAGTCCACCACCAGCAGATCTCTTTCCTCAAGATCTGGCAAGGGGACAAGAGTGATATCATTAACAACCTAAACTCTTATAATCTTTTAACTATCACAAAAGATTGATTTTTTTTTTTTTTTTTTTTTTTTTTTTTACTGTACTGGCCATGATAACATTTAATCCATTATTTAAACATTTTAACCAAACATGAAATTCTATGATTGATTTGTCACATTAAAAGATGAAGTGATCTAACCGAGAAAGAGTGAAAGGTTTTGAGTTTAAAAGTCTCCTTAGGACCTCTTCAAATGGTCTTATTCTGAATACCAGCTTCATCTAGTCATCCAACTCATTAAGAAACAATTTTATAAGAAAATCTTGTCAGCATGAAATTATTTTGTGGGGATAGGTAAAATTATCTAGATTACTTTCTTTACCCTTTTCTCCCAAAGCTATAAGTAGTACCTTTTCAGTGAGCTAATTTCACATTCAACCAGAGATTCTCTGGCCATGATTTTTTCTCCAACACTGTAACTTTGTAGTTTTCTTAGATTGTGACTCTCTAGAATTACATGTTCACATAGCTGAGCATAAATGCAACTAATCCATA